ACATTTGAATGGTTATTTGAACATTTCCTCAAATGTATGTTTGGCAAGTATCCGAAGACAATTATTAGCGATCAAGACAAAGCTATGGGAAATGCAATAAAAAAAGTGTTTCCAAAGACTCGACATCGTTTTTGTTCATGGCATATCAGGAAGCATGAAACTGAGCACCTTCAATCGTATGTTTCCCGTTACAGTGATTTTCAAGAAACACACAACCAATGGGTAAATAGTGACAACATTGAACAATTTGAAGCAATATGGGAATACATGCGTATTAAGTATGAAATGGAAAGCAATTGTTGGATTAGTGACATGTATAACCAACGTATACATTGGGCTAAACCCTTCTTGAAGGATATTATCTTTGCTGGTATGACCACAATCGGGCGGAGTGAAAGTATCAATTCATTTTTTGATGGTTTTGTTAACTCGAGGACCATGTTGAATGAATTCGTTGTGCAATACGACAAGGCAATTGAGTTACGAATGGCTTCTGAAGAAGATGAAGACTTCAAGACTATGAACTCAAGGCCAATTCTTTCTTCAGTGCATCCAATCGAAGCAAAAGTAGGTCAATGTTATACTAGAAAGATGTTTGATACTTTCAAAAAAGAATGGACCGAAGCTATGACCAATTTGACTCATGAGACTCTAACAAAAACTACAGAAGAAAGTACATATAGAGTTGGGCAATTGGATGTTGATAAAAAATATTGGCGTATTGTTACCTTTCGTTCTTTAAATCAAATCAGCGTCACATGTTCGTGTTGTATGTATGAGAAAAATGGGATTTTATGCAAACATAACTTATATGTGATGAAGAAGAAGCATGTTCAAGAAATGCCGAGTCACTATATTTTACCGCGATGGACCCTTGAAGCTAGGTAGAAACTGGGTAGTGTTAGTATCGGACTCGGAGAAATAAATAATGAAAATGGAGTTAGTGCCTATACATTATTTTGTGTTCGTTCGAATTTTACTAAGCTATTTGAACAAGCAAGGGACTCTCCTTCGGAGATACAAAAACTCAATACGATATTGATAAGTCTTTTAGATGATCAAGTCAATCGAAAAAAATCTATGCCTTTAGAGAATGCATCTCAAAGTTCTTGTATGGGAGTTTCGCAAGTAGATATGATGCCACAGTTATCTATCCGGGATCCTCTTGGTCCAACTACTACGAAAGGGCGTCCTAAACTTGCAAGCAGAATCAAGTCTTCTTTAGAAGCCCCTAAAAAACGAACATGCTCTTACTGTCAAGGATTGGGTCATTATGCTACTAGTTGTTAAAAAAGAAAGGTAATTATAATAATAATTTAATGATTAAAAAATGAACTCTAATGATTATATTAACAATTTTTTATTTTTTTCATATATCAGGCAGATGAATCGTTGCAAGAGACATAATGATGAGATGTGTTGTTTCTGTGGGCAAAAGAAAAACTAGATACTTCATAACATTTTTATTGGTTAACTGCACATTTTTCATGTTTTAGACACAAACAATGTATGAGTAATCTGGAAGTTATTGATGTTTCTTAACAATTTTAATGTTTTCCAATGAAATTTGTTGATTGTTTATGATTTGTGTGATTATTGATGCTTCTTAATTATATCTTTTCTGATTTTCTCACCCACATGGACCTCAATCATTGGCTGTTTGGTATGTTTTTTATAAGAAACTGGAAATTCATGATAAATGGTATTGAGTTTATTAGTTTGGGAAACATAAATATTACATTGCTTATTGTCTTTTAACAAATCATCAACTGAAATTGGTTGCATTTCTTCTACTTCTTTCCTCAACTTCTCAAACAAAACAGATGATAAATAGCTCTCTCCAAAACCTGCATGAATTGTCAAGATTACCAGCACTGTGAACCAAATGGGCAAGCTCATGGTGTATAAAAACACGTTCCTGTTGTACGATTAAAAAACCAAATAATATAATTAGAAAAATACCAATTACAAGACAAAAATTAAAGTTAAACACATAAGAACAATCTTGCCTTGTTGGACGATTTTGCCCCTGTCCATGGCAGGGGACTAAAATTGCTTAATTTATTGAGTTGATGAAGTTGAATTCATAGTTGATGTTACTGATCGTAACTTTCAACTATTACATGAGTTTGACTACATCAAACTCTAGTTTTAAAAAAAGGAAATAAAAAAAGAGATGGAGAAAGAATCAATCAAGCATTTGTAGAGCAAAGAGGACCAAAAATAAATAAACTGTGTTGATGTGCTTCTCAAATACGACTTCACAGAGAAAAAAAAGAAATAACTTTTATCCACAAATGAGTTAACTGTGAAAAGTGAGAACAAAAGACTCCATTACTTTGTATTCATCTTAATTACTTTGTATTCATCTTAATAAAGGCTATATATAGCCTAATATGCATACATCACGTGGGAGAAAAAATAAAACAATAAAATACTATTTAAATCCTAAAGTTATGACGGCAACCTACGGGAAAAAAATTCACAACCGGCTAAAGGTAATAGACGATTATGGAAACAATAGGGATCGACTTTTAGTTGTTATTTTTTTTCAATAAGGAAACAATAGTGTTTAAGGAAATTGTTATTTTTTTCAATTAAATTAAACCACCAATCAAAACTACGTAGTTTTAAGCATTGGGTACCTATATATATATCAACTTTTTTTCCTTCCTTTTGTTCATGTATATATATGTATTCCGTGTTTCATATAACATATTACTTTTATATAACATATTACTTTTATGGAAATTATATGGAATGATTATTGACAATTTATTTAAATTCTTGTATTTAAAACTTTTTTCTGTATATTTTGTAAACTCTATGGCAATAAATGTTTATAAAACTCAATTTTAGTGGTCACATGAATTTTAAAAGACAAATTTTAATTTAAAAAGAAATCAAACGCAAGAACATTTTTTTAATATACCCATTAAAAAAAAATTAATAACAAAAAACGCTACAATAACATTAAGTTCTACAAAACTATAATAATTTGAAATTTGTTTACTTTAAGAGTGTTTTCTTTTTATGATTTAACCATATGAATTTTGAATTTTTTAAACAACTTTAACCAAGTTAAAAAATTTCGATAGTTTAAAGAAATTCATGGTTGAACCCAATATTTTAAAAAGCAGTTTGAATCACTCGGACTGGAAATAAGGTACAACAACGATTTTGTAACATCTCATTTTCACCACTAAAAATTTTTCATTTTTAATTAATGTGAAACTGTTCATTTTTTAAATACAAGCTACGAAAATCATTTATTCCAAGTTACATTTATCGAAAATCAAAGTAATATAATAACATGGAATCATCAATGCTATTGATGAGTGTGTACGGTCACGTCTTCGTTTTCCCACAAACTGATGATATCTGAAAACAACAGCAATTGGGTAAGCATAAAGCTTAGTAAGTTTTCCCAAAATATCACATGCATTAAGACAGGTAAAAACATGTAATTGTCCAATCAGTCATCGGACTAGAATACTGTAACATCCCAAAAATAAGATCAAAAAAATCAATTTTAAATTAATAAAACCAATATCCCAAAAACATCATTATAAAGATCCAGATAAAACAAATGTATAAATCGTCATATCATATCAGAGTAAATCACAAAATGTGGAACGAGGTGGTGTGCGTTCTCCAATCATTTCGGACTCTTCCTTTTGGAACCACGAGTGCCTGAAACATAAACTGAAAATCGTAACCACAACGCTTAGTGAATTCCCCAACATACCACATGTCATACATAAATAAATACATAATGGGCCCTGCCCAATGAGTGTATCGGACCCCGTCTACACTCGCATAATGAGCCCCGCCCACTAAGTATAATGGGCCCCGCCTAAACTCACGTATCGGGATCCACCCACTGAGTATAACAGGCCCCGCCCAAACTCACATAATGGGTCCGCCCGACATATAAATCATATAAGCACATACACATACAAGAGTCATAGAGACATCTAGTATCTTAGCATCACTGATCATGGGTTGTCATTGATGCCTTAGACCCGCTAAACATGGTGAGGAAACTCACCTCACACTGTTGAATCTCACAGAAAGAATCCATGCCTGCTGGCACACTAAAATCATCGCACTAACAATTATAAATAACATCTAATTGATAATTGGATCCCAACAGACTAAAAGTCCAAACTAGGGTAAAAAAAGACATTTTTACCCTTCCCTAACTTGGCCCAAGGCCAAAGCCCAATCTAAATATCCAAAAAGCCCAAATTCCATAATAATTACCCAAAGCCCAATTATGGTCCAATTTTTCAATTTGGGCCCAAACCCCTTTTATGGGTCTTCAACCAATATCCACTAAACCTTTTTAATCCAAAATAGCATTTTGATGGTCCAACAAGGCCCTAATCATCCATAGTCCAATCATGACCCAATACTGTGAGCCTAAACCTTATGAAGCCCAACCACTGAGTACGTGGGGGGGGGGGGTACTCAGCCCGTACATTAAGCGTATCGCACGGAGGCTTGTACACGTGACGTACTAGCTTGTACGCCCAACGTACTCCTCAGCTTTGCCAACCTTCCTTATTCAACACTTATTTGGTTAAGAATTTGACCCAAAACCTATATTTGACTTCTCTAAGGTGGTTTACCACATAAAGTTGCCAACTTTATGTGCATACATGGCTTAATGGGGCTTTAGAGCTCAAAATAACTTAACAATGGGTCTTAACACATGCATCGGTCCATAAACACTTCCAAGATTGCATCTTTACGAACAATGGGACCCCAAAATGCCCATATCTATAAGGTTAGGCTTCTGAAATGACCCTAACTCACAAGAGCCAACCAAAAAGGACTAAAATCGCCATAAACAAGTCCAAAAGAAGATCCATACAAGGAGTTGTCAAGATAAGATCTTTATACCTCAAATGACTTGCAAAAGGAAGGATGATTATGGATCTCTAAGCTTCACACCAAAGAATGCACCTTCAATCTTCTTCTATTCCTTCAAAATG